AGTTATATCAAAATTACAAAAGTGCCCCAACAGTGCCGCTGGGTAACCACACAGTCCAAACGTTCTCGGGTGCAAATAATGCTATACGGTAGAAACTGGTTAAACAAATACAATTGTCAAGTACTTGACAGTCAATAAGAATGTTCCCAACAAAAGGTATCAAAACTCTGTGTACCAAAACCAAATCAACAAATAAACGTTTCCAGTAGACAGTCAAAAGACAAACAGTCAGATCACAGTACAAACGTAAGTTGAACCAAAACAAAATTTCCGGTGCAGTAAAACAACGTCACGTCGTCAACATAATAATAGGAAAGTGAAACATTCATGTTAAATCTTAATCAAACAAAGGCAAATACTGAGTGCAAAGTCAAAGAAGACAGTCAAACAACCAAACAACATTACACCGGCTAGGGCCAAAAGTACACCATCCATAGCGAGGGTGAAAATGTTCAAATAAATGTCAATACCATCAAATAGGGTGATCAGGAGGGATTTTCAGATCATTTTCCGTTATACGCGGTACTCCCCAACTCACAAAATCTGAGAAATTGTTATACACCGGTGGCGTTATCTATCACGGTCACGAGTGCATACCAGTTCGCGAAACGAAAGTCCACATTCTTGATTACGGAAGTGAAGGGTGCTCAGCTTTTACACCTAACTTACCTTTCTACCAAAACAACGGGTAATGTGGAAATTAGGCAGGAAAATGGAACTGTGAATAGCGCCCTGCTCCGCTGCACTGTTTTCGATGACAAGCGTCATATTCCGTGTTGTGTGGCCTATAACATTCTTGAAAGACAGTGTAGGGATGCGTGTTACAATTCCGTAACGATTGATCAACCCTACTTAATTTGATGTGCTCTAGTACCTGCTTAACCAGTACTTTACCTAACGTGTAAGTACTGGTAACAAAACACAAATCAAAAGAACTGATACGCAATGTATTTAAAGGAGCTATGTATTTAAGGTAAATGTTATAATAATGAATGAGGGAAAAGTTTAATCAACTTATCTGGCTTGTAAGGCTGAACTAGGGACTCGGAGTACGTGCGTGGTGATCAGCACAATGGAGCGCAAAAATGGCGTCCAAGCCTGCTCGGATGCATGCTCGTTAAAACAAAACTTAAAACACCCTAAGCATCCGGAGGCAAGCTAGAGATTTATTTAGTTAATTTAATTTAAACTATTTATTTTAGCCCTAGTTATATTTTGGTGCCAGGAAGGTGCACTACAGGTTATCCCCCTCCTAGAAGGTTGTTGGGATACCGGCAACCTTCGATCCTAGGAGGCGACTGCGAGGCGGACACGCAACACCTTTCCATATTGGTGATGGAGTAGGTGACGTGTGGGTCTCCGAAGCTAGTGCAACTATGCACACCTACGAGGTAAGATAACTTTGCGTCTAGACGCAACCCTTCTCGCAGTGGTGGAAGGTGACCCAAAGCCTCCGTCTACTTTTCCCTATTGCTTCTTAATCTACCGGGGAGTGTACAGGGGGAAATTGGTACAAAGAGAACCGAAGAACGATCCAAGTAGCATCGTCAGCGGCCAATTGTATCCAATTTTCAACGCATTTTCTAGGTTCTGCAAGAAGAAAGAAATGGGACATTAGAGTGCTAAGAAAAGGAAAACCAAACAATTCGAAGTGGGAGGAGTACAGAAAAAAAATAATAACCAACCAAAAAAAGTTTTCGGAATTTAAATTGTTTTTTTGTTTTTTTTTTTTTGAAAAAAAACTGTTTGCAAAGTAGTAAACATGACTTTTGAAAACTTTAGGTATGAAAACGCATTGAAAGTGTATGCCACGACAAAGTAGTTGAAACTCCGAATTCACCAAGTGTGAAGTTGCTCTGGGGCTAATTAACGAACTCGGCGTATCGCTTGGGCCAATGTACACGCCTCCCAGCACGTGTAGAGGTTACTGGATCAGTGTTACTAGACGTGGCTCTTTTAGAAGGTTCAGGATACGCGCGACTAAACGAGTCTGTTTGGGAGTCCGGCGGCAAGGGTTTTTCTAGTTGTGTCGGTGTAGAGGAAGGCGGGTCGTCCTCTATATAAGCTGCCTTCAAACGATCGACACTTATAGAATCCTGCCGTCCAGATCTGTCAATGACGAAAAACTTTTCTTTCCTACTGAGAACCTTGAAGGGTCCGTCGTATGGTGGCTGTAAGGGCTTACGTACACCGTCACAACGCACAAAGACGTGAGTGCAATCTTGGAGTCTTTTATCCAGCTGCACCCGTCTACACTGTATCCGTGTGGATGAGGGTTGGAGGCGACGCATGTGTAACTTAAGAGTTTGAGCATAGCCATGGATATCGGTAGGAGTTGGGTCACTGCAGTCTGAAGCGACCATCTCACCCGGCAAACGTAAGTTACTACCGTAAACTAACTCAGCAGGTGTACACTGTATATCAGTCTTGAGTGTAGAACGGATGCTGAGAAGAACCAACGGCAGAGACTCAGTCCATTTCATATTGTCGACTGCCATTAGTGCGCTCTTAAGGTGTCGGTGGAATCGCTCGACCAAACCATTGGAAGCTGGATGATATGCGGTAGTGCGGATGCGTTTGCATCCCAACAGATTCATCAGCTTCTGGAAGGTAGCGGATTCGAACTGTTGGCCTCTGTCGGTTGTCACGGTGGAAGGGCATCCAAACTGTGAAACCCATCCTTCGACGAAAACCCGACTTACTGTTTCGGCAGTAATGTTAGACAGTGGGATGGCTAACGGCCAGCGAGTAAACCTATCGACACATGTCAGTAGGTAACTATATCCATTGGAGGGTGGAAGTGGGCCGACAATGTCTAAGTGGACATGAGCGAATCGTGAGTCAGGTTTGGCGAAAGTTCCAAGTGGTGGGATGTTGTGACGATTCACCTTGGAACGTTGGCACTGAATACATGACCGTGTCCAGTTTCGAACATCACGGTTAATACCAGGCCAAACAAACCTAGCAGATATGAGCTTGTCAGTGGCGCGGATGCCAGGATGTGAAAGATTGTGCAAAGCATCAAAAACATGCTTACGCAAGGATAAAGGAACAACCGGTCTGGGTGTGCCTGTGGAGGTGTCGCACAATATTGACACTTCACTGTTCAGGAGCGGTAAACGCTGTATCTTCAGAGAGGATGAGTGTTGAAGTTTTTCAATCTCCTCGTCTGAATCCTGAAGTTCGGCAATCTTCCGTAAGTCGACTGCTCGAGGCAAAGTAGTGGTGCAAACGCGAGACAGTGCGTCCGCGACAGGGTTATTCACACCAGAAATATGACGGATGTCCGACGTGAATTGCGAAATATAATCTAGGTGACGTAATTCACGCGGTGAATATCTGTCAGTAGTGGTGTGTAAGGCATACGTCAGAGGTTTATGGTCGGTAAAGATGATGAAGTCACGACCTTCCACAAAATGACGAAAATGTTTCACTGAGGCATATATGGCGAGCAGTTCCCTGCCGAAAGTGCTGTACCGCATTTCGCAGGTGGATAACTTCCGGGAGAAGAATGCAACTGGGATCCAAGTGTGATCCGAAAGTTGTTGCAACACAGCTCCAATGGCCGTGTTAGAGGCGTCAACCGCAATGCTAAGAGGTAGGTTTACGTCTTGATGCACCAGCATCGTGGCGTCTGCTATTGCGGTTTTGATCTTGCGAAATGCTTCTAGTGCCTCAGGAGTCAAGCTGAAAGTTTTACATTTACTTTTCAGCAGGTCGGTCAGTGCAGTCAAAATGTGTGCACATTGGGGAATGAAGCGACGATAATAGCTCACCATACCCAGAAACACACGCAGAGCTTTAAGTGACGCTGGGACTGGGAAGTCTTGGATCGCCTGTACCTTTTCAGGTAGTGGGCGAATGCCTTGCTCGTCGATAACGTGTCCCAAAAATTTTAGTGAACGAACGCCAATTGGCATTTGGCCAGGTTGACTGTCATCGAATGCTCTGACAGTCTGGCGAAAACCTGTTTCAAGTGGTTAAAATGAGTGTCTTCGTCAGGACTAGCGATTAGTATATCGTCTAGGTAGGCATAGGCGAAATCGAGTCCACGTAAAACATCGTGAATAAAACGTTGGAAGGTTTGTGCTGCATTGCGAAGACCAAAAGGCATACGGAGGAACTCAAAAAGACCAAACGGTGTAATGACGGCTGTCTTGGGAACATCATCAGGATGAACCGGGATCTGATGATATGCACGCGTCAAGTCAAGCTTACTGAAGATAACCGAGCCTTTTAAAGATGCAGTCAAGTCGTGAATGTGAGGGACTGGGTAACGATCTGGAATCGTTTTAGCGTTGAGCCTTCGGTAGTCACCACAAGGCCTCCAGTCCATGCCATTGTTCTTGGGTACCACATGCAAGGGTGAAGACCATGGACTGTTGGATGGTCTGATTATTCCCATTTCAAGCATGTGTTCGAACTCGGCTTTTACAGCACGCAGTTTCTCCGGGGATAATCGCCGTGGTTTCGCAAACACTGGCGGGCCAGTCGTCGTTATGTGATGAGAAACGTTCGAAGTCACACAAGGGACACAACGACTTGGCTTAAAGACATCCGGAAAGGACTGAATGATAGACGCGTAGGGACTAGAAGCGTCCGTCGTGCAGTACACGGGACTGAGGGGCGGCGTCTTTGTGACTATACCGGAAACAGAGAGTGTTGTGGTAGAATCTATCAACTTATGCTTGCCAGCATCTACCAGCAGCTGATAGTGCTGCAAGAGATCCATACCAATAATGCCGGTGGTCACATCTGCCACTATGAAAACCCAACGAAAGGGACGACGCAATCCAAGGTTGAGATCGAGGAATCTCCGACCATAGGTTGTGATGGGCGAACCGTTGGCGGCACGAAGTTGCAGAGACATTGGCCGCAGACGCTCTTCCTTCGTAGGTGGGATGACGCTAGCTTCTGCCCCAGTGTCAACTAGGAAGCGTATCCCAGAATGTCGATCAGTGACGAAGAAGAGGCGACATGGAAGTGGCTCGCCAGCGACGTTAGTCGCCGTCACGTGCTGGCTCACACGTTTCCCGCCTGGTTAGCCTCGAAGGTGCAAGGTCGAGTGCACTTTTTGGCATTGGCACCATAACGTTTATGGTACCAGCACAACCTGGGTTGGGATTGTCGCGATTTGGAACGTCTGCTATCGGTACGGGAGGCAGACCTGTTGCGCGAGCGAGACGTGCGACCTTTGTAAGAACTACCAGACCGCATTTCGTTCCTGATGCTGCACAACTCTCATACAATTTTGAGATGTGAGCTATAACATCGAAACTTGTTGGCTCAACAGCCGAGGGAGGGTTTTTGAACGAATCCGTGGCAGTAGACAGTGCAGCTGAGATACTAGTGTTGGGTTTCGTAGCATCCACAGCTCTGTCAGCCGCTTCCGCCAGCTCTATTAAGGGACACTTATGGAAGGGTGCGAGGATCCCTTGAACCGACTGTGGTAACCTCTGTAACCACAGTTGCTTGAGAAATGCTTCATCAATGTTGAAGTCAGCAATCAGCTGCTTCATCTGACGAAGCAGTTGCGTCGGCTTGCGATCACCCAGATGCACATCCCTGAAAAGTTCTTGCACTTTCTGCTGGTCAGTAAGTGCAACACGTTTGATGAGGGCGGTTTTGAGGCGATCGTAAAGATTCGGTGCTGGGTCATCTAGCACATCTGAGACGTCTTCGATCACATTTTCCGGTAAGCTGACGATGACTAAGTTGGACTTAGTTTCTTGTGATTGAATGTGTCTCAAGGCAAACTGAGCTTCCACATGGGAGAACCATGCAGATGGTCTGTGGGCCCAGAAGGTGGGAAGCTGGAGGGTTACGGCCATCTGCGCAGTCGAGTCGTTATCCGCCATTGATCAGGGAATTAACGAGGCACGATAGTGATAATAAAAAAAATTACAATGCAAAAATAACCAATGAGGAGTGCAATAATATAAAAAAAACGCTAGACGTGCCAAAAACAAAATTAGGCCAGACAAATCAACGCAAGAGAACAAAGGTACTAGACAAAATAAGAAGTGATACTCGGGCTCACCAATTTTGTAGGGATGCGTGTTACAATTCCGTAACGTTTGATCAACCCTACTTAATTTGATGTGCTCTAGTACCTGCTTAACCAGTACTTTACCTAACGTGTAAGTACTGGTAACAAAACACAAATCAAAAGAACTGATACGCAATGTATTTAAAGGAGCTATGTATTTAAGGTAAATGTTATAATAATGAATGAGGGAAAAGTTTAATCAACTTATCTGGCTTGTAAGGCTGAACTAGGGACTCGGAGTACGTGCGTGGTGATCAGCACAATGGAGCGCAAAAATGGCGTCCAAGCCTGCTCGGATGCATGCTCGTTAAAACAAAACTTAAAACACCCTAAGCATCCGGAGGCAAGCTAGAGATTTATTTAGTTAATTTAATTTAAACTATTTATTTTAGCCCTAGTTATATTTTGGTGCCAGGAAGGTGCACTACAACAGCAACACCTCCTCCACACCCATTAGGCGTTCTCGGAGGGTTGTGCTGAACGTCACAGTGGAGCCGAGACTGAGGCCGCCCGTGACATCTAACTGACAAAGCGGGCGAAGAAAAAATAAAATTTATAGCTTTCGGTACATATCTTTCTTTAGAGGTACTGCATGTAAAAATGATGCCTGCAAGTTCTGATAAATTCTAATACTGTAAACTAATCCTTTCTACTCACCTCTCGCTGTCCAAGGCATTCCACACTAACCCTGTTGCTCTAATTTCTGCAGCTAATGTGTCTCCAGCACAAATCCCCAGATCTTTTACGAAGAAATATATCACTTCACCAGAGTACATTATTTTCCGGAGGTTTCGTTAGTCACTTATATAATCAGCTTCCCGAACCCTGGGTCAACCATATTAATAATTTCATTTGGTTGTACATTCCGTTTTATTGGCAGTGGACGCATCCTTCGCTGGCCGCCATCGATTCTTCGAACCTCTGGTTCCCTAGAAATTGGCAAGTGGCGGAAACCGAGGGCTGTGTATGGTATTAACAGGCCCCCCACCTTCATAACTCCAAAAACTCAGTTTATTTCTGAAGGTGAATGTGTAGCCCAATGACTCAGATCTGTAACGTATATTATTATTATTATTATTATTATTATTATTATTATTATTATTATTATTATTATTATCACCGTGCTTGCTGTCATCTTAGCTGCTTTCTGACTCCTGATCTCCTTCATCGACCAACATGGCAGCAAAATAACGGCAGACTGGTACTCGAGAAAGAGTTAAACCTGGGGCTTATAAAGGTTGGAAACTTGCTCCCTGGCGTTTTTGGAGGCAATGGCGTAATGACCAATCAAAACAATGAAAGCCAACGCTTTGTCTCACTTGCAAAAAGACTGACATTGCACCTTGGATATTATAACTGAGTCGGACTACCGGTACTCTTAGGGAGCGGGCTTGTGGTTTGGTGGTAATTTTCTTCTGATCTTTGCATTTCCAAGTGACAGAAGACGGCAGTTCAAAGGATTTGTTTCAATGTTGAGCATGCGTCGGTACTATCCGCGTTCATGATCTGTTAGTCGAGTGAGAAAGTGAAACAGTGAGACATGGTAGGTGGCGTTTGTGGTGTCAGAATCGGGTAAAACAATATCAAGGTCTAGAATGTGTGAAGACGGCACGGGAAATAAGCTGCCTCATAGTTTCATATGCTACCCTTGCAATGTTTTTGGATTTTGCACGGTTCAGTTTTTGTGTCTGGGCCTAAGCTGTATGACAGATATTTATAGACACGATCCGCTCAATTTTAGAACATCAACCGTTTATTCCAGGTAATAATATTAATAGTATTCATTCCCAAATATACAGGTACACATCATTTTTACAGGCATGAAGAGTATGCTTCGGTTATTGTAACTGTAGATATTTCTCAAACACTGCCTGATAGGACGCGTCATCTGATTGTTTGGTTCTAACGATGGCCGAATTCGGACCTACATACATGGTGCGTCCAATAGATAATTTTGTGTCGTTATCTGTCAGCCGTCGACGACAAGTATCTACGAGTAGATCGTAATGGTCCAGCAAATCTATGCCAATGATGGGCATAGGAACGTCAGCCAGGAGGAAAATCCAGTGAATAGGTTTACGTAAACTTAAGCTGGGGTAGGCATACCGTCCCCCAAATGTTGCTATTGCCTTGCCGTTAGCTGCTCGAAGATCGAAGGACGGGTCATGATGACGCTAACTTGTCATTGCGAGAAGAACGCTAACTTCTGCGCCGGTGTCGACCTGGTGGAGAACTTTAGCTTTCATACTAGTGATGTAGAGCAAACGGCTGTTTCCGCCGGCTACGGTTGCCCTGAACACGTGCCGGCTTGGCCGTTTCCCAAGTTTGTGTCGGTGTTGAAACTGCATAGCTTCTGCATTTTCTAGCTTCTCCGTAAGTATTATGAAACCAGAACCATTTCGGGTTTTCCACCCTGTTAGGTTCAGTTTTTGGGCAACCACGCGAGTTACTGCGATGCGTTTCTGTGAGGTGCTACGTAACCCAGGGCTTCGAGGTCGTAGCAGCTGTTTAACAGAGTTGCACAGCTTGCTTACCCCTGAATCCTGGCTCTGGGTTTATCACAGACAGAATACACGTTGGAGACGGGTCTGCTAGAGGTCTCCAGTATTTTATCTGCGGAGGCTGACAGGTCATCGAGTGGGACTGACTGAAGTATCACCAACACGGTTTGCACCGTTGTGATAGTTTCGAGAGAAATAGTTCTCGGAAAGGCCATTGTTGAATATCCGTGCGCCGATAACTTCTCGGATGCGTGTTAGGACTTCAGTAGCTGGGTTGCTGCCTAGCTCGATGTTACGAAGTAATTCGTCTAGGCGCTGGCGATCTGTGAGGTCACTGTTCTTCAGGAGTACAGCTTTGAGAAGTGCATAAGGACCATTTACTTCAGGAGTAAACATATGTGTTGTGACATGCCTGTTTAATTCTCGCGGTAGTGAAAGTATGACATCAAGAAATCGAGAATGAGGATCTGCGACTCCCTGTCCTCGAAAATCTGCCTCGGCATACAGAAACCACGTTCCTGCATTGTCTGGTCAATATGGTACGAGTTGGATAGTTTTGGTAGTCTGCTTAATAAGGATACGCTTGGGAGTATGGTTGGATATGAGAAAAAGTTGTATATAGATATATAAAGGTTATCAAAATGAAAACAATTAACAAGTATAAAATGGAACAGGCTCATCAATTCAATATTTGTTATTGGTCGGGATATGTTATCACGTCGGGCTCACCAATTTAGGAATTGTCCTGATGCGAACTCGACAGACAGGTAATGGAAATCGATATTGTACTGACGTAATCAACTACCTTTCCAGAGGCTAACAGTCAAAATAGTTTTTCGGCTCTGACATCATTCATTTATTTCTTCCAACTCTATTATTTTCATATCCAAGTTATTTTGGAGTTTGTTGTCATCCTACGTTCATCGGGTATACTGACTTCAATTAATGGGTATACCAGTCATCAACTTTTTTCATCAAAAATCCAAGGAATATGACCTTGCTGCATACTTTATCGAAAATCAAGACGGGGGAGAAGGGTTAAACCGTGTAGCATTTAGGGTTTTACTTCTTCCAGAAGACTGTTAAAAAAATGCTCTACTGTCTGTCGTCGTTTTTCTTCCATCACTGCCTATTGAATTATGTTGTAAAGGCAGAGTTATATCATTTATTACCTCGCTTTTATGTTGACTACATTCATGCATTCATTTGGGCGACTTAATCAGTGGTATTGCCAAAGTTAATGTTGCTGAAATATGAACTTTTGCGGTGTGGTCCAGTCGTATATGTCTTCAATGCTTTTCTCATACAGTCGATTATGAAGGTATTTGAGAAGTGAACGTTCGTGATTTAGACACACTGTTAGGTTTTTCCTACTCTTAGTTCAAAGCCGTCTTCGGCTTTCGATAATTTGGCATGGAATGGTTGTAATGGCTAGGATCCTACGATCCTAGGATCTCCCCTGACTCAGTTGAAAGGTTTTAGTCAAGATAGTCGCTAGCTGTCTGGAATTGAGGTTCACAGTTGTGTTTTCGATAGTCATTATATTGTCTTAATAATCTGATATGCAGGTTTGCTCAGGATAACGTTGAGCAACTAACAGGTTCGCTGTTATTTTATAAAAATACCAGACAACATAGGGTCTGAGAAGGTGTAGTGGACCCAAAGAATGTGAAGTAAACCAAAATGACAACTGTGTATAATTTACAAGAGAAATGGATTTTATGATACGGATATATGAAAAGTTATACGTTATAGCACAAATAGTATTGTCAATGTTATAGATAATCACTGGTTACTTGGAGGTTATCTCTTCGGTATTGTCCACCACAAGTTTCGATACTCCAGAGATCAGAAGGCGATATTTGTTGGCTCTGCGCAGTGGTCGTTGGTAGGCTTGATTGTCGTAATATTTGGAAGTAGGATGAAGAGTCCTGTAAAATCCCAAGATAATCAGTTAGTCTGCACTACAGGCAATAATCGTGGAGTCAGAAATCGGAATGGTTAGAAGCACATTATATTTCCACGATTAGCATCAGCAAAAACTGTAATTACCACCACAACCAAAAAAAGTGTGTATATAAACAACGTTCATTTTTACAAGTATTAGGAAGAATGTACAGAATGTGTAGGAAAAAACGATGAAAAAGAAACACTGCTTTTAGTTGAAGTGGTTTATACGCAATTTTATGCAGTATCCACAAAGGAGAAGAGACAGCACACAAACGAACAACCACACAAGCCGTCGTGCTGGTATGAACCACCACTCATAAAGAGGATCTTTGTATTTTTTGACAAATCTTACTGCACT